CTGACCTTCTCTCCTCAGTCGTTTTCAACCGAAAGTCTCTCTGATCCGCAACCCAAAACCAAACTGCAATTGAAACAATCTCAAATTCCGACAACAACATATCCCAATCCAAAACCAGTATCCCACCAAAGCTCAACTCCAAAAACTCAAACCCCAAATAAAATCAGAAAAAAAAAAACATAATCGAAGCAAATGCCGACCATCATAGAGAAACCTCATGTCTGAACAATACATTCCTTTTATTAATATTTCAATAACAGAGATAATATAGTTTACGTATAGGATCAGAGAATTGAATCCAACATAAAAGACTGAAATAAAGACCGAGAGAAGATTATTAACCATGTTGCTCATGATGTTTCCGTGGGATCCCTGACTAACCATGAAGCTTTGAGGCATCACTTTCAACGAAAAAATAAAAGCCCACAATAGTATGAACCCAAAAAAAAATACAACCAGAAGAACCCGAGAATTTTGAAAGACAAGACTAAAAATAAACTGTTGATGCTTTCAATTACTGAGAATGAGATGAGGTGAGTAATACCACCAGGCCGTGACACTGATTTATATATACCCATCTTCAAATTTGTATCTCCTTCAAAGTAAAGTATCGATCCGCAAAAATCAAACACTATTATGACAATCAAACTCCACCGTGAAAACTCAGCTCTTCTAGCGTTGATCGAATTGTAAAGAAATCTTGATAAGGCATCTAGAATCCCTCTCCGCTATCTGACTCTTTGTACCTCCTATGAATTGCCCTCATCGATTGACCAAGATTCATCCAATGAAATTACAACCGGAATTAATTTCTCCAGCCGTGAACCTTTCCCCTTTTCAACAAAGATCGATACCAAAATAATCCTTTCTAGATCCGAAAGATTGAGATCATTAAAGACCATGTGACTCACCAGAGAACTCTGAGGGAGATCAATCCTCAATATAAGATGTTAAAACATCTCAGATCCGAGAAGAATCGAAAGGAATCACCACCGTACTTTTCCCTTTAGGGTTTGAGAGAGTTTCGACAAGAGAGAACCCATCCTCTTTAACTATGAAGGTAAGAATCCCTCTTCTTTCCTTGTGATAAAAAATTCAAATCACCATTGAAGGCATAGAACTTGAACTCGGATATGCTCGAGCTGCCTTTAGAATAGGACTTGATCCCCTCACCGAATCCACAAACAACCGTAGTAACCCAAAACTGAACCCGAAATCAATCCAATCTTGTCTACTCATTGCTGGATTTTAAAACCCTACAGTCTCCTTCAAAATCGCCATCGTCGTCGACCAAAATGATTTTGAATACGAATAAGCAGAAAGCTTAATTTATCAGGCGTCCAAAATTAAATGTGCATGTTATCCGGTTTAGTCCGATTCTTTATTTTAAAGAATTGAAAAATATTATAAATATTTAAACAATAAATGAAATATTAAGTTATTTGAACTTTATAAAAAGTTAAAATTTATAAAACGTTTTAAATATTTATAATATTAAAACTCTTATGAAGTTTCAAATATTATAAATATTTAAACTTTATAAGAATTTATGAGAAGTCTAAACATTATAAATACTTAAATTTTATACTACGGGTGAAATCGTAGAATTGACGGATTTGGGTCAATATTAATACGGGACGGTATACTACGGGTGAAATCCTAGAGTTAACAATCAAAATACAATTATACAATTTTAAACACTAAACAAAACAAACAATATTAACAAAACAAATACAACTGAAAATTTTAATTTTTTAGTTATAAAAAACCGATCCGCGGTATACTACAGAATAAAATTTGCTCAAAATCCCTTTTCCCCATGCCATAGCTGCTGCTATCGTTGATCAGGTTCCGATGCATTCTCTCGTTGATGTACACTATACATCATGTTATTGGGTGATGGCTTACAAGGATTCCATCAATCCCTTTCTGGCGATCTCTAGTCTTTACGGACTCCCAGAAGATATTGCTTCAATGAACTTGCTGCCATCCCACACGAAGCGCACACCAGGGAGACCAAAGAAAAAAACGCTTCTTCTCACGCAAAGAGGTTCAGGTATAAGAAACACCTCTCTCGCAACATTCAGCTATACAAAAATGTATCCGATGCAGCTAGATATATCACGGTATATACTTGTATATCCATCTATATTGTGCAGAAGAAAGGGTTGCGAGGACAGAATGTTTTCTCAAGATGCAAGGGTAAGGGGCACAACAGGGCCACTTGCCGCATGCCCATATAGTAAGTCCCACATACCCCTCAACATATTCAAAAAAATTCAAATTCAATACCTTTTATCCGGATATGTATGTTGTTCCCCGGTACTTTAGTCACCAAAATTATTTTTTCTTCATTATGCAGGGGGCATGTAAGTAAAAAACCAAGTCTACCTTGCACATTTTGACATAGGTCGGCACTGCGGGGACTAAAGTACGAATGAAGAACGCGTCTTTTGGGATTGTGATTGAACGACTTTGGAGACTAAAGAAGGATGTAACCAACTCTTGTTTTTTGGGGGTTAGCAACCCCATTCGTACTTGTAATATATTATGACCTACCCCTCTTAGCAAGAGAACCTATGTAAAATAACTTTTATAATGACTTGGTTTAGCGGCTATTTAGCTATTAATGTCCCTCTATATATTTACATATCAAAGCCTTTTGTTTTGTAACGGGATAACAAAATACATATCCGGCTACTTATTTAGTTATCCATTCGATTTGACCACAAAACAAATATTGGAATGACATAAGTTACAACCGACATTAAAGCTACCTAACACGTTTCCCATCATTTCCTACATATCCCATTGCATTAGATATTTAGGTCCTTAGATATATGTTTAAATATCAAAGCTTTGTTTTCTTATACCATGATACATACACAAGTATCAGGATACTTATGTCAATATCCCTCCGATTTTATCACAAACTAGTACTAGAATCTGACATAAGTTACAACCGACATTAAAACTACCTAACACGTTTCCCATTATTTCCTACCTACCCCCTTTGCATTACTATCTACCTACCCCATTGCATTGTTGGGGAGATATTACTACCCCATTGCAATATATACATGAGTACATTTCGATGAAGTAAACATCCAAATATACCTAAACGAAACAAAGATGATGAGGCAATATCTAGACCACCCATCCTTGATGAAGAAAGATGGAATTCTCCGCAACGAGTTCGAGGTTGCGCTGGCCAAAGGACGACCAGAAGCACACTATTTAGAGGGCCTCCAGATTGCGTGTGGGGAAAATAATATTATGGCAGTCCGGGAACACATCTTTAAAGCTCTAAATCACATTGAGGAATCAACATTCCTTGTGGCAGTCTTGTCCATTTGTTCAGGAGAGCAAGAGGTTGGCAATTTATTCGCATCAATACTATACAAGAGAGATTAGGGATCCGTCCTAGCCATGGGTGACTCAATATTTGTGAAAATCGAACAAATGGAAAGCCTCCACCTTAACTCATACTCCAATTCATGGTACACAGAAATACCAGGTTGTTCTGAAATTCACACCATCGAAGCAAGGTGCGAGGAATGCTACTTGTATTGGTTTTTTAAACTTTTCTGTGCTCTATGTTAACATGTACCACGGTATATTAATCTGTGCCATGATATAAACAAATGTGTGCGAGGAATGCTACTTGTATTGGTTTCCTAAACTTTTTTGTGCGCTATGTCCACTTGTATCCCGATATAGAACGTTGTGCCATGATATAAACAAATGTGTGTTCTTGTTATTTCAAATATCAAGAGACATTAAAGGGAATAACTTAGACGACGTCGTTTGCGACTTACTCTAAACCCCTAAAATCTCCAATTCGATTCTCAAATCCCTAATCCTAAGAAATCCCCAAATCAAAACGTAAACCCTAAAAATCAATTCTCTTCCTTTCAACTCTAAATCACCATTGTAATTCTGGGAGTTTGAGTGTTCAAGATGGAGGACGTGTAAACCGTGGGTTTTCTACGAAGTGTCACTACGGGCGAGAACTCGTCATCTATACATCGAGCACGAAGAAGAACTCATGAAGACCTTTCTTCCATTGTCCAACCAATCAAGATGTAAGTTTATTTTTTTTTAAATGTTTGTGTTTAGTCGTAAAATGATTTTCGATGTAATTGCAGGACCATTTGTTTAAATGGGTCAAAGATTGTGTGTACGAGGAGGTTGTAGATGTTATAACAAAGATTTTCATCATTGATAGCGAGGTAAACAATGCCAAATATGAGGTTGCATTAGAGATTGCAGAGTTAAAGAGTTTGATGAACGAATTGAAGGAAGATGGAATTTTGAGCAAAAGGGAATTTCAGAGATGGAAATTAATGACCAAATTGTGCTTGGTGTGCCTTTGTATAACAGTCATTGCAATTGTATCTGAATGTTCTGTAAGACCAAAAACCAGAAACTTGTTCTTGGTTACTAGTGTAGTTTGGTGTTTTGTCTTCTTTTTTTTTTTTTTTTTTTTTTTTTTTTTTTTTTTTTTTTTGTGTTTTGTCTAACTTTGTAATGAAAGGTAATGAAATGAGAATTTTAAACCAAAGTTCAAAGAGTAAATGCATTGTTCTGTTTTCCGGTTGATATAAACATTTTCCAAATCTAGATACATACGATCATAACTAGGCACAAATATAAATCTCGCGTTAAAAGCCCGCGTACTATGCTAAATTATTAAATAAAGCCCAATTATTCAGTAACAAATCCTAAGACAGACAATTAGAATCTCCAATAAGAATAAGGAAAAATCCTAAACCAACAATTCACTTCTCAGCATATACATCATACATCTTAATAAGCAATTTCTTGGCTTTAACAGCCAACTCCTCAGGCCTAACCCCTCTAGATGCCTCAAGCCCACCTACTGCATGCCTCTCTATGAAGAAAACATACATCAGGCCACTCTCCGAAGGGTGTAAACAAGTCGGAAGAAGTGTGTCTCTGCTTAGGATGAACGGGTCAGAGGGGACTGAATTCATCAACTAAGGCGACACTTGGCGAACAACAAAAAGGAGCATCTCCAACAAAGTTTCCATTTCTTTCCGGAGCCTAGTGTCCCGACACATCTTCTGGTTGCAATCAAACACATAGAGATATATCCCCCTGATATCAAGGCACATCCCTATCCAGTGTTGTTTGTCAAAGTTGAATGGGAAGTAGAGAGTATCAAAGTTCAGAGGGAAGCACAACATCAAATCTTGGTCGAATACATACTTCTTCTTAACAGAATTCTCAAATTTGATTCGATGACTAAGGACAAGGAAATCAAATTTTGACCCCTGAAAAACCACCCTAGGTTCACTTAAGCTAACCTCTAAGGTAGCCCACTTATCACGGAAATACTTGATAAATGAATCCATCATCTACAAACAAGAGAGCACAAGGTTTACACATGATATGAAACAACATTTATTAGAAAAAGAAGATTTAGATACTAACCCATGGTCCTATTACAACTTGTAGCCCAAGAATCTCCTCCATGTCCTTGGCTACGAGGAATAAGCTCCCCCCAAAATTAATTTTCCTGTCAAGTTCCACATCAAATATGTCAAGATATAAAATAAATTAACCAGATATGTACACGAATGCCTAGACATAACGAGTTATAGATGGACACGTTACCTGCCAACCGCTAAATTCTTCTCAACTTCCAACCACTTCTTATCAATAACATCACGTTCCCCTGACAAATTTTCCTCTGAACCAGCAGAAGTCTTAGTCGGGAAGAGAGAAAGAGTTCCAGCCTCACTAGATTCCTTCCCTTGACATTCAGCATCATCATTCACACTTTTGGAAGCAACATCCTAGACATCATTCACATCCTGCTCCTTAGGACCATCCCCACTTTTGGCAGCAGCATCCTGGTCATTAAGACCATCCCCACTTTCTCCACCACTGTCCTGCTCCTTAAGACCATCCCCACTTTTTGCAGCAGCTTCCTGGTCATTAAGGTCATCCCCACTGAAAACAACAACACCTGCTCTAGATCATGAGCTAAATTCTCAGAGACCTGCTAACAAACAAAACCTCTATTAACTACTATATCATGGTATGAACAATAATGCTCTGATACATATACACATGTGTTGACATTATAGTGAATAACTAACCTTTGCTTCACCAGACAGGTTCAGAGAATCAAGCACGGATTTAATAGTATCATCCGGATGTACATCGTCAAGTTCGTCACCATCTCTTTGTTCAGTCTTTACATCATCCATAGTAACGGAAGCCTCTCTTTGTTGACTATCCGTTCTAAAATCCTCCATAGTCTCTTTTCTACCAGCCGTTTTAGACTCATCCCCTACTGGGTCAGTAGCCGTTTCAGTCTCGTCATCATCTCTAATCTGCCTCAACCTTCCATCAACACGCATCCGTTTCCGCTTGGGTTGAACTGCCTTTTTGGCACGGGTAGGGGGTTTGACCTTACCTTTGGTAACAGGAGCAACAGCTTTAGGAGCAACAACCTTAGCACCAACAAGTCCAGCCCCACTTTCTCCCTTTAAACGAGACACCAGGCGACTAGGCGATCCTCCATGCTACTAACAGCTAAAGAAACTTGCGAACTAATTTGCTTTGCTAACCACTCCATTTGGGATTCAGAAAATGGTACAGGCTGGCTACCATCACTACTGCTGGCACAAACAGGAGACTTCTTCCTCTTCTTGGACTTTACAACTTTTTTCCCTTCAGCTTTTTCTTTAGGTTCTACAGGAAGCGCAGACACGACCACACCACCTCCAAATTCATCGCCAGACCATTGGTGGCCTTCTTGAACTAACCTAACCAAATTATCAACTCTCACATCTTCCACCTCGTCAGACCAAGAAAAATCGTCCCCAACAACAACATCATTAAGAGGAATAATAGATTCAACTGAAACCTGCAAACAACCAAAAACCTCTATTAACTACTATAGCAGGCTACAAACAATAATGCCGCGATAAAAATACACATGTGTTGACATTGAACTGAATAACTAATCTCTGCTTCACTGTCTATCACCCAAATTGGCTCCAATTAACTTCGCCAATGCCACAACACCAACCACTACACCTTCTTCTTCGGAATCATCGTCAACGAAGACAGGAGTATCAACCGGCATGCTCTTCTCAATGTCAAGGACATCTTCTAAAAGAACCAGTTGCAACGCATGCACAAAACCTTGAACAGCAAAGCTTGTTTGGGCAAGCCCAGAAGCTTCCCGAGACTTGATACATGACATAGTCATATCAAACGAAATCCTGCCCCATGGATGATTAAGAAATTTGTCAACGTCCCTCAACACTTCTGCGGTTTCTTCTTGGATCTTCATATTCAAAGATCGAGGACACAAAACACCATCAATCAGAACCAATAAAGCATATTTCAATCAGATGTCGGGGTCACGGACAACGCCGCTTTTAAGCCGTTTAATTAAAATCTCCAGTGTCACCTCTTCATTCTTCGCGAACAAAGTGAACCAATAAGGAGCTTCAATTGTCTTCTTCTTTATCGTGTTCTTATTCACCTTCTTTTTTCCATCGGCCTTTCCAATTGAAATTGGATCGCACCGTAAACCCGTCACTGATGCAAACTCCCTCAGACCAAACCTAATCGGCTTAACCGCGTATACGAACCAAATCTCATGCTTTTTCTGGATCGCTAACTGCCTTGTAAGCAAAAACAAACAAAATTTGTTGGAAAAAGAAAACTTTTTCCCAATATCGAACAATTTCCCCAGCCGCAAGCCTCTGATCTTCGTAATTTCGTCATCCTTCAGATGCTCCGCTAAATCGTTTAGGTATTGGAGTTGGAAGTACTTATGAACCATATCGCCGTCTGGCTCTTCACCGGACTTAAAGTATCTCTCCGGTCTCTCCGGCAGGTTTTCCATCTCACCTCACTATTCAGATCTCTCTCTCTCTCTCTCGCCTTCGTTACGGTTTCGACACAGGGAGAAGAACAGAGAATTCAAAATCCAACAGAGAAAAACGGAACTGACTTCAATAAATGCAAAAGAGAAACTGTCCTTTTTAACAAATATCAAACGACACATAAGCCAAGGGTTTTGTTTCGCAATAATGTCTCGGTGTAAATACTAGACTCTACAAGTAATAGGGGTATAATGATCTTTTCAAGACAAACCAAACACACACATTATTTACGAACATGCCACTGATCCTTTAACTTAAATACTTCTTAGTCTTAGCGTATGTAGTGTAATTACTCTTTCTTCTTCCTCCTTCTTCCTTGTACTCCAATTTGTTTCACCATTTGCAAAATACGATTTGTGTTTTTATAGATCCAAAATACAAATGATCAAATTTTCTCCTATATCCAATTATCCCGCAGTTAGGCCAGAATATTTACTCTCTGAGCCCATCAATAAGCCCACATCCAAAACCCAAGTTCTTAACAAAACAATAAAATAATTAAAAGGAATAAAATAGTCAACCGACTCATAATCAAACCACTACAAAAACGCCACGTGTACTCAGAAAAAATGTATGGCCTGTGTCTCTTTCACGCCACCTCTATTTCTCTTCTGCCTCCTCGAACCTTCTTTTTAACAATTTCCACTTTTTCTCAAAAAAAAAGTCTTTTCAAAAGAAACCGTCAAAAAGCCACCGTTGAGATTTTCTTCCTCCAATGGCGTCGTTCGATGAAGCACCTCCCGGAAACCCCAAAGCCGGTGAAAAGATCTTCAGAACCAAATGCGCTCAGTGTCACACCGTCGAAAAAGGCGCCGGTCACAAACAAGGTCCGTTCTCTGATTCTCTCTTAGATCTAGAATTCTCTGTATCATCATCGTTTGATTTAATCTGTTTACGCTTTGTTCGAATCTGGATCTACCTCATGCGTTTTGGTTTCTCGTATGGATCCGTATGTGTGTTGTTTTGAATTTGGGAGTTTTTTCTGATGAAAACAGGACCGAATTTGAATGGATTGTTTGGAAGACAATCTGGAACAACACCAGGATATTCTTACTCTGCTGCTAACAAAAGCATGGCTGTGAATTGGGAGGAGAAGACTCTTTACGATTACTTGTTGAATCCTAAAAAGGTATTTGATTGCTCTTTATTATTCCTTAAATGGATTTTAATCATAGTTTCTGGTGAAAAATGAGGTTCTTGATGATTGTTCATTAAGCTAATTCGTGGATTTATACTCTTTTGATTATAGAGATTAATCTGTTGATGAATCAATTAGGAGTCTAATATCATCTTAGTATTGTTCTGTTGATCTACAAACCCAATTTGTTTGTCTCGAAAATGTGTCATTTGCTTTCATTTGCATGTTCAAGAATATCAAGACATTAGCAACATTTCTTTTGGTTATCATCTTTACTCTGAATCATCATAAGATTGTCCAGAAATTGTTGTTGAGGTAATACTTGAGTCCTTCCTTCACTCTTGTGTGTCGTTTCTTTATTGAGCTGATTTGAGGAATTGTCCACGAATCTTATGATTCATCTCTCACTCTTTAAGCTTTGTGTGCATCATCTCAACAGTGTTCCATTTTATTCTATTGCATGTTCAAGAATATCAAGATAGTTGCCACATTGTTTTTAGTTACCATGTATAGTATGAATCATAAGATTGTCTGTCAAGAAATTGTTGTTTGGCTAATACTGATTCCTCCTCTCTTCACACTTATGGGTTGGTTGTTTCTTATTGAGCTTTTATGAAGAGATTAGATTTCAATTTGATTGAATTGGTGTGGATTTACTTTGCTTGTTACAGTACATTCCTGGAACGAAAATGGTGTTTCCTGGACTGAAAAAGCCGCAAGATCGTGCCGATCTCATCGCTTACTTGAAGGAAGGTACTGCATAAGACAGGCACGGCTGGATATTTGAAGCTTCTGCTATTCCAGTGCATTTTTTTTTCTCACAGATAAATAAATCAGACCAAAAATATTATGGTCATGAACTGGTTTTTGTATGGTCTTTTCTTCTTAGTTTTTTTACTTTGTCGATGAGGCTAGTAGCCTCTTATAAAAGTAAACATTCGTTATTGATGTGAAGAATCAAGAAACAATTTCCACCACGAAATTCATGAGATTTTTTTAATTCTACTTGCCTACTTTTGTTACGAAGTAGAATCCTTTTTGTCAAACAAGGTCTTCAAATCATAACTAGAAGGTTATATAAGAGACTAGAATTTAATCCGCGGTACACCGCGGGGCTATATTTTTTTTAAAAATGCAATGTTATTTTTTGAAAGATTAACTAAAAATATATCATATTAGTTTGTACTTTTAAATGTAGATATCTATCTATGTATTATTTAGTGTATGATTACTATTGTTTAGGTTTCAGTTTTTGAAGTATAGATACGAAAACATACATTTTGTTTAAGTAACGATGTATGGTCAATTTTAAAATTTTGAATATTTTACTCTGCGGTATACCGTGGATCGATTTTTTTATAAATAAAATTTTTAAATTTTAAGTTGTACTTGTTTTGTTAATATTGTATGTTTTGTTTTGTGTTTAAGGTTGTATAATTGTATTCTGATTGTTAATTTTAGGATTTCATCTGTGATACACCGTTCTTTATTAATATCGACCCAAACCCGTCATCCCATATAAACATGTCTATATTATCCCGTTAGCTAAATTATTAGTGTTATAAATTCCAAGAAATAAAATTATTATTGTTATAAAATCTAATAATTTTAGGATCTCACGCGTGGTATTCCGTTCCTTGAATGATTTTAAATTTATACTACTAATATATATTTTAAATTTATCATATAAATTATATGATTTTTCTATGTGAATATTTTGATTATTATAAATTAGTAGTTTTATTGTTATGCAAAATGTTGATATAAATATTTGCTATAAATCGGTTTTATGCATATTTTGTGGAGTAAAATTCACGGATTTTTTTTTGAAGATATATGGAAAGATTGTGTAGAGATTTTTAGAAACAAATTAGGCAAGATATCGTTTGGTTAATATCTTTTATTTAAATTTTGTAAAACTAAATAATAAATGCCAATGACATGAACTCGTAAATAAGGTGAAACTCTAGGATTTATTTGTTAAAGATACTCCAAAAATGTATATATATATATATATATATACGTATAATCCGGCTAAAACGGTAGTCAGTAGAACATACATAACTCAGTAGAACATACATAACTCAGTTAAAAAAAAAAAAACACAAATTTATTGAAGTTTGATAAATCGTCAAAAGTTTTTTATTTTATTTTTAAAATAATAATTATATAAATACCTTATAATATTACTTCCTCTCTTTCACAAAGAGTGTCATTCTACTATTTTTTACACAAATAAAGAAAACTAAACAAATTTCATTTCTACCCCTTACTAATACACTAGATAATACTCTTTCTCTAATTAATAAGCTGAAATAGTAGGGATTGAAAAGAGAATTAGTCTTAAGAACTGCATTGAAAACATAAAACGACACTCTTTGTGAAACAAAATTAAAACCTTAAAATGACACTCTTTGTGAAACCTAGGGAGTAATTGAGAAACACATTTAAGAATAACCTTTAGCTACCGTGGTATGTACAGAGATGCCATGCTGACGTGTTACAACCAGGGTAATTCTTAGTCAACTTAATTCATTGCCCCATCCTTTACTAGACAATTTACAAAAATTGTCATTAGTACTATATATACATATCTCACAAAAATAAAAATATAAAAGGCAAATTCCAATTAAAAATAGTAAATACTTAAAAAAGAAATTCCAATTAAACAATCTAATAATTAAGCAATTAACTTTTTGGAACTTAATATATAACTACCTTACATTTTTTTATAGAAACATGAAAATTCTATGTTAACAAAGATATTATATGAAAGCAAATTGAATGGTTTATATTAATATAAAAGCAAATTGAATGGTTTAATCTGTGACAAGAGGAACTCATGTCGTTGTATATTTAGGTCTATATATTCAAGAGTATATTAATATCTAGAACGAGTATATTACATGTTTTGTGATACACAAGCAAATATAAGATTTCAGATAAAAATACAGTAAAATTTAAAATTTACTACAATACATTTACATTGTGCGGGTAAACTACTTAGTTATTTTTAAAAACTTAAATTAACAATTTCTGAAATTAAAATAACTTTTAATATTACTTTCTTCATAAATATTCTATTTTTATATATTAAATTTCTGCACATAATCACATAATCACATATTTCACTTATTATATTTTCATAATTATATAAAAATAATTAAATATTTGTAACCTGCAGACCGATCCGTCAATACACATCAAAATCTGCTAAAGTCCGCAAATTACCTGGGCTTCTTCGCGAGACTTGTTTCTAAGCGAACCTAATATTTTATGTACATATCCGCCATGTGTCCTCTACCCGGAAGCATAGGCCTAAACCTCAAAAAATATTTATGGCCTCACTTTTTTTTTCCTAATTTTGAAAATTAAAGCTAAATGAATTCTTACATCAGTATTGAATTACTTTTCTACTATTATTATGTTTATGTAAAAAGGTTACCTAAAATCATATATATTTTAAAGATATAATAATAGGTATTTGTTTTTAATAAATTTTATGATATTACGAGTATAGCGTAAACTAGACTAAAAAAAATAATTTTAAATCACTGAAGTTTGTAACAAAGACATATAATCTCTATACTATTAAAAGAGAAGTATAAATGAAAATGGGTCGGGTTAAAATCAGAAAATTGACCCGAAATTCTGAAATCGGATCTTTGAATTTTTTTTGGAATATCAATTCGAATTAATAATGAAAAATCGAAATAAAATCAAATATTTATGGAAATCAAATAAAATCTGATTGTACTTATGGTAACTAATAATAAAAGCATATTCCAAACAATATTATACATTAATTACGTATAATAAATTTGTTCATATATTTTTGGGACTAATTCCATAACAATCAACGTTTTTGTCATTAATTTCGCCCATTTTAGCCAATTATCATTAATTGAAAGATATTTTACTTGCTTCTAAAGATTTCTAAAAATTTATCACAAATAACCCATCTGTTTTATAAATTAAATTGATATTTTTATTTTGGTCATGTAAATTAAATAGATATTTTTATTTTGGTCGTGTAAATTAAATAGATATGAAATCCATGTAACTAATTTTAATTTAATTAGATTAAATCAAAATTATGATTTTTTCATACCTATAGCTTACCAAAGAAGTTTAATTTTCAATTTATAAAGATTTCTTGAATATGATTTTAGAATTATTCAACAAGATGATAAGTATTTATTAAATTTTGTGAATCATGAAAAATAATAATTAATTTTTAATCGTTATACTTCATCTTTCAATCTCTCATCTAACAAATAAGATACATATTCTATTATTACTATGTCCAAACTTCATTTTGTTGTATGACTAAATAATATTCCCATTAGAACTGTCAAAGCGAGTTGATTCGTCCCGTTAAGTCCGTTTTGCGATAGACAAAAAATATTTTGACTTGTAGTTAGTCGGTCCGCACAACCCGCAGGTAGCATATATGAAATACAAACCCGTCCCGCGAATGTATGCGGATTTGCGGGATTGTCCATGAATTTTGTTTAAATAATTTTAAAGTAACCAAAATTTAAAATACTACTAAAATAAATAAATAAATCAAAATACTATTAAAAGTTTGTTTAAATTACCACATGTTGAATAAATTATAATTTTATCAATAGATACTAATATGCGGGCTGATCCGCCAACCCGCGGATGAAAACCGATTAAATCTATGACCCACTGCGAATTAATCCATGTGGCCCGCTTATTTGCGGGTTTAATATATTTTCCCAAATCTGCCCTATAGTGAGATGATGTGGGCTCGACCCGCGGTTTTTGACCTATTTTGACTGCTCTAATTCCCATGAATCGTCTAATTTTAGAATTTTAAAACACAAAATTCTATTTTGTAAATCATAATTAATACGATGGGTATATTTATAAACAATTTTACATTTTCTCTACAATTCGTTATTATGAATATTTATAAGTATACTACACGATTCGTTCTACTAAAAAACACACACAATATTAAACGCAACGTATGTAAACCACTATTCTCTCGCGGTGGACCGCGGGTCCGATCCTAGTATGAATTAAAGAAACTAACAAAATATGGCATATAAAATAAAAAGAGGTAACAAACTTGTAAAAAAATTAAGTTTAAAGCCAAAATTATTATTTTTAATTAAAATATTGCAACAGAAGTCTTAAAAAAAAATACTAGAAGTGAGAAGTGGAATCCAACAATCATTTTCTTGAACCAAATTAGAGCACTTCCATTGGGACGGTTCGCATATGAGTATCTCACATTATAAAAATAAAAAATATTAAAAAATAAGAGAGAGAGTGTGAGATGAGGTTCTCAAAGGTTCTTAAATGAGATATCCATTAGAAATTCATGTGATATTCCTTTCTCATAGATTGGTCCAATTTTCTATTTTCTATTAAAATTTAATTATAAAATTCAGTTATATTAAAATATTTATTAAAAAAAAACTTAATGGGGTTCTTACGAATGAAGATGCGCTTACCACTAGACTTGTGTTTTTTTGTCTCTCAAAGTTAAAATATAATATGTGAAACCTAAAGCACATGTTTTACTTGCTTTAGGCAAGTGCATAACATTTTAAAGAGAATCACAAATGGCAATGTCCACGATTGAAGAGAGACAAAGAGTCCTCCAAATTTTGAAAAAATTGTGACTAACAAAAATCTTGAGAGAAGATGGAGAATTTATAATTTTCCATCACTAGTTGATTTAGCTATAATAATTAAGAGATGAAAATTCTAAAATGAAAATAATTTCAACCAAGTTCTAACTTAACAACTTATAAAAATCCTATAACATAATGTTTATAATCCATTTAATCATATTTTTTTTTTCTTTTTTTTTTCCCACTTGCTTGTGTATCTACATATTTATTAAATTCTCCCTCTGATCCAAAAAAAATGATGTTTAGGAGTTTTTACACAAATTAATAAACAATGATTACTAACTTTAAACATATTATTTTCTTTTACCAAAAAATACTATTTAATTAT